TAAGAATGATCCCGACTATGATCCAACCCAACCCAACTGAGAGCAAATAGCAAAGGGAAATGATTGTCCTCTCTTTATGATGTCTTCCTTAACACTAGAACCGCGGGATTTTTGATATACCTAGAAATGTGGTACAGGTCAATTTGACCCTAGATAGAAAACACCTAAAAATTTGCACAAGTGATTATTTTGGTTAACTAAAATATTATATTTTTATGTAAAAATCAATATTTCTCAGAATTTATGTTAAATATTTTATATAAATTAATGGAAACCACCTAAATTTTTAGAAAATCGTGTTATTTAAATTTATTTTCTTAAATAATATCTACAGTTTTTAAATGAAATAAAACACAAGTTTTGTAATTTTGGTAGAAAAATAGTTAAATGAGTTAAGACATAATTGTAGAGAAAAAATAAAAATTTTACCAGTCACATACCAGTTTTAGAGATTTTTAAAAATCTAATTTATTGTATGCATTGTGTACAAAATTCAGTAATAAATTTTGTACATTTACCACAAATGGGTGCTTTGGATTTTATACAAATATCTTGTGTTTTATTTTCAGATTTTGAACTGTATCATTGGACTAGTTTACGCTTAACTTGTTTTTGTCCATCGTTTTCAATGGTTGCTATACACTTCTTCCCGGGAGAGAACAAACTTTTATCTCAGTTCTTCAATTAAGTCTTGAATGAATTGTTGTATACCAATAGATTTTCCAGGTACGGCTTTGTATAAAACCCAGACATTGATAGCAGCAAGGTTCAAAATATTATAAAAACCTGCATTGGCCACCTACATGAAACAGACTTGACAGTATACTTCCTTGGCATTTGGTCCATCATGTCCATATTGAATTTAGTTATGTTGTAATAAGCAATTGTATCAGGTAGTTTTTTGGGACCTATCTATTATTTCTACAGTTGGAGGAAGACTACTTAGCAACAAAACGTTTCTGTCTTTTTACCCCTTGATAAACAGTTAGACCGATGTCTTTATGTGTTAGCACCCCGTAGTCACATGTAATGCAGATTTCAACATTTTTACAGAGATTGGTATTTCTCTTCTTGAGCATTTTACAGTTCTTACAAGGCTGGTGTTTTGGATTTCAGTGCCTTTGCAAGTTTTAGTGTTGTGAAAAGTTATCTGTAGTGACATTTCTACCTTTGTTTTCATATGGACTTAATAGTCGCAGTACCACATGTTCAGAAAGAGAACATTGGATGGACTCCTTCTTTAGTCAGGCTAGTCAGGCACAAAAACTACATACAGAATGATGTGAACAGGGTTCGTAGGGTCCTTAAGAGTCCTTAAAAGTCCTTAATTTTTTTGGCAAAAATCAGTAGAAGTCCTTAATTAATCATCTGAAATTCGTATGTTTTACGGCTGCCATTTGAATGTGAATTAGCATTAGAGGAATATTTTTGGCGATTCACTGAGTATATGGTTTCTTTTGATGGGACATGGTATTAATTGTTTCTATTTCTAATCAAATGATGGGATCTCGAGTTTTAAGCAAGAGTTAAACATAAGCTTTCGAATTCATTGTTTGTAATAAGAGCTTAACAATTTCGCTTTGGGGATGTGAATTCTTTATTAAACGGTTCTAAATTTGGCGACTTATCACATTTGGCGATTTTAAGGTCTTTCTATAGAAATTTTTAATTCCAATCTGGAATTTTCGACGATTTTTTTAAAACATCATAACTTTGATAGATATGTGTAATATATTGGAATTATATTTAAAAAATAGCATAAAATAAAACATTTTTTATTTTCCTGTCATATATAAAGTTTCATTTTGGCAACTTATTGTACAATATATTGAATCTGAAAAATAAACAAGGTATAATACTATAAAGCAAAAGCAAATGCAAAATTAGCTATATAATTAATTAAAAATGTCTTGTTTTTAATTTTTTCATAGTAAGCGTATTTTTCATGTAATTGTCTCAGAATATTCAAAATTCTCAAAATGTGAATCAGTTTTCTCTATAAAATTAATTTTACACCCCCCCTGAAATATTTCTGGCTTTTTGCTGTTACAGTATTGGTTGGGATAATTTTTCTGTAGTATTTTTGACATTGAAGCTTGGAAAATTTAGAAAGATTTGAAGGCAAGATTTATAGACTCAAGATTCTAGAAGATTCGATAAATATGTGACAAAATGAAAAATGTCTCCATAGTATCAATGCGCAATGGATATATTTTACAGAAAGTTTGTGATGAATTTCTTGCTTTTTGAAGAACGTTTGGAAGAATAATGAAGACGTAATATTTGAATGTTTCACTCCTGATACTAGAATCTTTTTCTTAACATGATAATCTTCCCTGTATTTTATCTACTTTTCACTAGACACAAGGATTAAAAATATCAAAAGCTTCTGATCTTTCACATGGGCAGGCATTATAGAAAGGGTTATTTTTATTAATAAAGAAATTGAAAACTTACATTTAAAAGATCCATCTAATAGTATTATGCATAATACACAAGCTGGCACTAAGCATTTCCCATCTGATGCATCTGTGGATCCTAAATTCTACTTCTAAATGCTTCTCCTGAAATTCTAAAAGTTTTGCCATTTCTAGATTTTGTTGTTGGTGTGTCACTATTCTAAAAATTCTGCCACACCAGCTCTGTAACTGGCCTACTATTTTCATATTTTCTGAAATCCATATTACTAAAGAAATAATTATCACTTTTTCTATACTTCTAAATGCATTTAGTTTTTTAGAATAACAAATCTTAATTAAATCCAAAAATTCTAAAATGAAGGGAAACATGCTGAAAAGAAACTGAATACATAAAGAAATTATTCTTCAAAGATATGTGCAGTTATTATTATGTAATTACCAATTGTATTATTCAACTTAGTTAATTTCCATTTGTTTCCTCTATGATAGAATTACGAGCCAGATAATAAAATTGTGTATAATCTTTGACCACTGTCCACATTTTAGTTTGAATTGACTGTTTTGTTTTAATACATCACCGTGAGATGATTGAAAATCAGAAATGCCTTTGTTGTTCTTTTAAAATGAGGCTTATTAAACCTTGTCTGTATGTAGTATTCGACATAGATAATTGCTTCACATCGGGGGTTTTGGATATTTAACTTTTACAGATCAATTAAACCCTCATAGGTACATTATGGAGGTGACAGTTAGGAGATAAAGATGCAGACTAGCAGAGCATTGGTTGCATATGAGACAAATCTCTAATAAGAAAATGAGGGAAAAAAAGAGAAGGAAAATCGTTATATTTTTATAGAACATATGTTTTTAGCTTTTCAGTGTAATTCTTTATATCTTTAAAGCTAATATGTTTATCTTAGAACTAAATCGTAATCTTAATTATCTTAAAATCTTGTAGCGTTTAAGACTTTTTTCCCCTGTGTAATAAAACATGTATTGCTAAAATGAATTTATAGATGTGATTTTATGGGCTTTTTAAAAATAAAATTTAATGTGGCATGTAAACATAATGATAACTAAACTATTTTACCAATTTTTTTTAAAAATTATCTCTACATATTAAGGAGTTATTACCTTTCATTAATACTCACGTGTCACAAGATAAAATATAAAAATGTAAAAGTCAGTATAACTTATTTTGCATCTACTGAGATTAAAATAATACAAAAAAACTACACCTCTGGTGCTTTAATGGCTTTGAACCTAAAGTATATAACGGGTACAACCCCTCGAACTCTACACAAGCTATGACACTAATCATCAAATAGAGCCTGATAACTTCAACACTGTCAACCTTGCCTACATCAGCCTTAAGGTTGTTCTAATCACAGGTCTCTCTAGACAGCAGATGTGTTGACAACATTCAGTCTTTATGTTATGAATCATGCTTGATCATGATCTTACAAAGTACTGCTACCACTTACTGTTTTGAAATAAATAGCTCAAAATAGTTTGCTTGTTTGTGTACCACCTATTTTTTTATTGTGTACCACCGGTTGAGAACCTTTCCTCTAGACTGACCAAGTTTGTGACAAAATGAGGCATAAAAAAATCAACATAAAGCTAACTATTAGTAAAACGTAATTGTCACATATTTTCTTTCAAATATGTCAAACCCATTAGAAATGTAAAATATTTAATGCTACTTGGTAAACCGCATGAAGTTTTATTTTATTCTCAAACTTAATAATTATGTTCATTAATTCATGTTTAGCAATAATGCATATAACTTAGGATCTATTTTTTTTTAGGATGATATTACAAAAGTGAAATTCAGGCATAGAATAATATTTTTAATTAAATTTATTCAGTTCCCATTTGCTCATAGGTCTTAATTTTTTTCATCAATGGTTCTTAAAAGTCCTTAATTTCCGTGTGCAGAAATGTGTACGAACCCTGTGTGAAGGATATAAATAATGATGAAATAGATGATCATCATTCTCTCCTATATCATACACCCACCTCTGAATGTTCAATGCCTCAAAACATCATTGCCATCATTTTATAACTTCCAGTATGCTCAATCACATCTGTTTATATGAACTGTGGGTTTATTGCATCATTATTTCTTTTAATATCACTTTAAATTATAGAAAAATATTTGGTATAACTTAAGAATTTGAAAGCTTTATTCCATACCAAATATTTTAGTAATTGCTTCATCACTTTATGCCATTTTTAATTTAATGAAAGAGTTTCATTGGCATTTTCTACTTTCACAAAGATTATATGAATAGATTTATTAATATTACTGCATTCTGTATTTAAAAGACAGGGATTATAAATATTGTGTTCAGTATTATACTTATTACCAGTACTGTACTGAGCTATCTATTCATATCTTGTACATTATTACCATAATTCAGAAGTTAGCCAAACGAGTAGATATGGCATATTTTTGTATTCTATGCCAAGTGTTATCCTTAATTTTTAGAATTTATATTAATCTCTGCATGTTGTGTAGAATAGTTTGGAAATTTGCCATTTTAGAATTATTGTCATTCGATAATTTATTTTTAGAATGTCAATCTTCAATACCTGTATTGTGGATAGTCGTGGGTGCTCTTGCTGGAGTGATTCTCATTGTTCTTATTGTTTACCTGATTCTAAGATTTTATATTCATGTGCAGGATGTGGAAAGTTATAAAGAATTTGAAAGGCGTCTGGGTATGAAACGATATGAAAAAGAGTTTAAAGTATGTTATTTAAATTTCAGTTTCATATATAATTATTAAATTGCTAATTTTCTTCCATCTGATGTTCTGTTTTGTTTAGAATTTTCTGCTAAATTTTTTTTTATTATTATTATAATTCTGCTAGTATTAGAGCATCTCTTCTCTATTGATTTTGGAGTTATAATGAAGTAATAACAGTACATCGCTTTGCCCCATTGAAATCTGACTCCACTAAAACACATGGACTTATCAAATGTATGTATCATTTCAAATTAATGACATATTTAGCTTTTATTACACATTGCCATTATATTTGGCTGGATCCAGCCAAGTAAAAAGAAAATAAATGTACTTTTTAATTTTCAAGCAATGTAAGCTGGCATTTCCATTTACATCTGAATTCATTTTGTAATAGGAAGCACCACTAATCCAAAAGATTAATTCTTTTTCAGGGTTTTCTGTACAAACTTAAAGTTTTCATATACAGATAAGTCAGTATCATTTAGAAAGTGCTTCAAGAAAATATCGCTTTCAGTGCTTTACTATATTATTTTATCAAACTCATTAACCAATTATTATGGTGGTGTGAAAAGTACCTTGTACCATGAAATTTTCAAAATTGTCTTTCTTGTAAAAAAAAAAAAAAAAAAAAAATTTTAAAACAAATCAGTACAAAATTACATTGCTGCAGATGAAATATTCTACAGCAAATTAAAAAACTAATCAATATCAAAATAAAGTTCACCTTTATGACATTTTTTAAAAATATGTTATTAAAATTCACTGTTTATAGCTAATGTTTTTTTCCCTAACAGCATTTATTTTATAACCAGTATCATTATTTTAAATAAAGTTAGAAGCTAAGAGCTAACATATATGGTACATAGAACAAATAATTCATCATTTAATAATCAATCAACTTAAAGAGATTCATTTTTCTGAAGTTTTGAATTTGTTAATATTATCAAACTGTCCTATACTCATAAAAAAGAAACTTGTCCAGTATTTATATCAAATAAAGGGATAGTTTAGTCTCATATGCCTTGTTGTATAATAATGCTGAAGCAAAATAATTCCTAAATTACACGAAGTAAATTTATTCATAGAAATAATATTAGAAAAAAAAAAAAAGCAAATTTTGAAGTAATATTTGGTAGAAAATTAAGTGACCTATAATCTTCTATTAATGTTTTAGAAACTTAGTAGGTTTAAAATTGCTTCAGTTTTGTGAGCCATATTTAAAAAAATTAGCAACAAATGCTCTAATCAGTAGTAAATTATGTCTATCCTTTATATGATCTTTTGTATGCTTGGGAGATCTTTTGTATGCTTGCACTAAAAAATAGAGGCTTTAATCCTTCCACCAAACACCACTTTCTTAATCCAACCAATATATCATAAAAACAACAAAGCCTATTACATCAAATATGTTCACATCTCTGCAAATAAAGCACTAAATAAAGGAAAGCACAACAGCTAATGACATTTTGGAAGCAATTCAATAGGAGGTACTGCAGAGAAATGATTAAACTCGCATAAGAATTCATTAACAATGGATGCTTGTTTGCATCCGCTCTGGCCAGAAGTAGTCAACAATCATAAAATATTTCCATAGATTGAAAATAAATCAAAGAAATTCGTACAAATTGCAAGAGCAATAGAAGGCAAATTATATTCAGGTATGAAAGGAGAAATCAAAGAATTAATTGAGAATATTGATTGTGAAATGACAAAGGAAGAAATGGATCATCTTATTGCACCACCGGTGAAATAGCAATAGTGAAGAACATAAACAGCCTTTTATGTAAAAGAAGTTGAACGAATTGTTAAAAAATACACAGAAATTGTCTGATTTTGTTATGGAGATTAACTCAAATGGAGAAAGAAGAGAATAATTTATGAGCGACACTGAAAAACTGCCTTCCTTAAAACGAAACATTTAATGAGTTGCAACAGACGTTGTCCCTAGCAAAAATCACTAGCCATTTAAAAAACAGATAGCTGTTTGCTTATTTCTTAAGCTTCTTCTTAGTAGAAATCCTTTCAATTAATACTTGTTTAATTTCCCCCTAAAATTATATACATTTAGCTTTTCTATGTGAAATGTGTTAATGGGATAGCCTCTGCATTTGGCAAGGGTTTACTATATCTAGTCTTAAGAATTGTGAGCATCAGTTTTAGATTTTTTATGCATTATCAGAATGTGTTAAAATTTTAGTAACTTTTCTTCAAAATAATATATTGACAGTTAATTATGATTTTCTCATAAACGTACATATTTTGATATGTTTATTTGAGATATGCTGGTATTTATCAAACAGCATTTAGAAATATTTATGAATAATTATTTTCTTCTCCCTTTTTTATAATATATACAATAAAGCCTTAAAAGTCTTGAGCATCAGGTCTCTATTTATTTATTATTTTGCAAGCAACAGACACTGTATAACAAGATAATTTGTTCTGTTGTTTTCTTATTATTAGTTATATATAACTCTATTATACTGGTGTTCCTTTAGAAATTTTCCCTCTTTCATTTCATGTAGCATACATAAATGTGCGTAAAGTTTATTCTATGGACATTTGGTAATCATAATGCAAGAACTTATTTAATGTAATATCATAGAAGTTTTAGAAATAAGGTTATAATTTAAAAATATTATGTTATAATAATAAGGTTATAATTTTAAAAGATTAAAAAATTAACAACAAGCATTGACATCTATGATAAATTATGCATATCTATTAAATTCTTTTCTTATTGCTTGATGAAAAACATTATTAAAGCAACATAATTTTGTTATCAAAGGAAAAACATTTCACTATAGTTTTGAGAACTCATTAATTGGTTTAAAAATATGTAAAATTATAAAAAGGAAGAAAAGGGATACGCATGTTCAGTGTAGTACTTCATTATTAAAAGTAGCATAATTTATTTTCGGCTCCTCTTTTCCCCTCTCCATCTTAAGGGGGTGGAATCTGTTGTGCATTTGTTTTTCTTATAAGTTTCCTCTTTCCTACCCTCCGTTTCAAGAAAAGTAAAAATATGCATTATTTGAATAACCTAGTTTTACATCAAATTTCAAAATGTGTTTTTCTCAGCAAACCTTGTGTTATCATTCTTAAATGATGAACAAAAAGGTTCTATTTTTGTTATTTGTTCCTGTGCATCATCTGAAATACAGTAAGTAAAATCTATATTTGTTTCAGTAGTGAACTGAGAATTTTGGCTAAGGGTGTCTGAGGTTATAATAATAATATATCATCTTGATGTCTTGAAATTTAACTGGAGGGGATGGTATTTCCTTAATCTTTTTTCAAAAACTCTCTAATATCATAAATTCATATATCAGGTGCTTAAGCAAACTTAAAAAAAAATCTAAATGAGATTTTTAAAGACATGACGGTGATATATATATATATATATATATATATATATAGATAGATAGATAGATAGATAGATAATAGTATCAAGTTTTGGTTATTATGTTACAACAAAATACAGTGGAACCTCAAGATATGAGCACCTCTATATACAAGGAATTCGAAATATGAGGTAAGTATCAGCAAAAAATTCATTTCTAAATACGAGCATTCACTCAAGGAACGAGCAATGAGCCAGGCTGTTGGTATGCATGGCGCCATTTCCCAATCCGACTCGACTCGGTGAATCCCCCCATCAGATCACTTAATGTTCTTTGATCTAGGTGTTTGTGCATTTGTGAGTTAATTGTTTTTTACATTTAATTGTGAAAATAATTATTTCACAATGCCTTCCAAGAAGATTGTTGCCTCATATAGTGCTTCAAAGAAAAAGAAGGAAGCCCATGGCCATTGAAATTAAGAAAGAAATCATAGATAAACATAAGCGGGGTGTAAGAGTGACAGAACTGGCAAAGACTTACGGCCGTTCAACATCGGCGATCTGCACTATTCTGAATAAGAATGAAAAAAATTAAGAAAATTGATGTGGCCAAAGGAGTTACCGTTACTTCCAAAGACCGTCCAAAACTCCTAGAAGATGTTGAGAAGCTGTTGTTATTGTGGATTAACAAGAAGCAGTTAAAAAGCAACTCGTTGTTGGAAGGTATGATAAATTTAAACTACGGTTATATTATTTACCACTGTTATTTATTAGAAAAATTGATTATTATGTTGATATTTTTGGGGCTGCAGAACGGATTAACTGGATTTCTATTATTTTCAATGGGGAAGTTTGTTTCTAGATGCGAGAAATTCACTGTACGAGGTCAATGTTGAATGAATTAAACTCATATCTCAAGTTTCCACTGTACATTGACATTAAATTGAGCAAGTTTGAAAAATAACAGCAAATTGTAAGATAATATTCATACAATGATTCTTTTGGCCTAATTTATTGAGCACTTCATTAACATTTATGTGTATATTTTAATATGTATTTATACGGGCCAGAGCTCTAAGTCTATTTTTCCATGTTATATTCCTCAGATATGTCTTCAGTCTTCTTAAGGTACTATAGTTCCTCTCTGGAGTTGATGTTGTCACTAATATAGCTGTTCTGTTTTAAAAAGCTTGTGTATGTTGGGCAAGATCTCATTTTCACATCAATTTAACATTTCAATAACTGATGGTTTGGTGTCTAGAAATTCACTCATTTGTCTTTTGCATAGCAAGTATTCAGTGTGTACTTCTTCAGTGGTGATGGAGGCACTATTTTCAAAAAAGTTATCCTCATAGGACTTGACAAGTTTATTGAAATTGTTGATGTTTCTTGAGCCAGATACTAAACAGGAGAAGGAAGATTAAATATCTTTACAAAAATTCAGAATAAGTTTTAGTTTATAATCGTGGCATCCAAAAACGGGAAAACAATAGAAATCATTTCGGGATCAATAATGTCCATTAGGTATGCCATAATATTCATACAATGACTCTTTTGGTCTAATTTAAATCATTGAAACACAGCTATCTACTACCAATAAGGATGATGGCTATGATCACCATCACCACTATTCTCAACTTCTTCAGTCTCAGTCCCCCCCCCCTAGAAAAAAATTCAGCAGAGAAGTTTTCTTTCTGTTTTCCATTTGGGGGGATGAAATTATAATAATATACTTATATAATTATTCTTGTAAGAGTTTATATTTTCACAAAATAAAAAATCTAACAATTGTGGACTTTAAGTAATCATAATAATAACGCACTAAAATTCTCATAAAATCATGCTCATTTACAATAAGTGTTATTTTCCATAATATTCTCTATTGGAAATAAGAAATTTGGCAAAACATTAATCACTAATGCCAAAGTTATACAATATAAAATCTTCATTATGTAAATCAAAACACTTTACAGACTTTACTCACCTGACAACAAGAATCACAAAGAACACTACAATACTTTTGATAATTTAATAAAAGCACACTGAAATATTGTAAGACATGTTTCCATTTCTTAAATCCTTGCACCAAATATCCCACAGACTATGAAGTATGTATATAGAGAAAGAAGCCAAAAATATTTTTGATCAATGCTGCAAGTATGAGTTGAATGACTACAAAAGGGAGAAAATTTTCAAGCCTGTCAAGCCAGAAAGCAATTATTAGCTAGTGAAATCACATGACTCTAGCACCTTTTCGAATGCATGGCTCTTATCTCCCAAGATGATTCGGTAAGCTCTAAACGGTTACTCCATTTTTTCCTTTCGTCTGCTTTAGTTCCTTCCCTATAATGTAACCACACCAAAATGTTCCACAGATTGCCAGAAAAAGCATTAAATTGACAGAGCTGCTAAAATCATGTAATAATTTCAACATTGGATTTGGTATTGATTTTAAAGATTAAATTAGGATTTTTGATTTAGTTCTGGGGGACGCTGCAGCCCCATAGACCTCTTCTCCAGTATTTGTCACTGATTAGTTTTATCCTGCAATGCTGTAAGTGGCATTCTTTTTCAGTTTCTACAGCAGTCATATAATTATAATTATTGAAGGAAAATAAGTTTTTCTATTTGCTTGAGTAATTATTGTCAAAACACAGTGAAACCTTGCAAAGATAACAACCAGCAGTTGCATAATTTTGATCTTCTGAGAAGGTCGTAATATTCTGCCATGCAGAATGTGATTATAAGCGATGTTCAGTAGTATTATTTATTAATGTTCTCAGTAGTACAAGTTACTTTCAGAGGTGATCCCTGGGGAGGTTTCACTGTATTTTTTTTTTATTTCAGCTGATTAAATTTATTTTCTTTTCCAGGACCAAGATCCCATTCGAAAATAAATGTGTGATGCTGTAAGTAATGTATTTCAGGTAAGTAATGTGTTTGGAGTGATTAGTATTGTTCCAAGAAAACCAAAAAAATATTTTTCGTTAGCAGACATGTATGCATATTTTGATGCATTGAACATCTAACTATTTTGCAAAATGGCATATATAATTCTTTATGGATAATTGTACCTACCTCTTTAAAATATATGATTTTTTGGAGGGGGGACAAGAAAACCAATTTAGAATATATTTTGCATAAAACTTTAAAAATTACTCCATAAATTTTTACCTTTTATTTAAATTAAGGGACTAATATGTACCTCTTGCCCAAGAAAAATGGGACAGTTCTATATCTCCCATAGACCGATTGTCAAAACTAAACTTGTGTTTTCCATGTCTCTAAAGAACGACATTAATTAGATTTATGTATGGCATTGTTTTAACATAGGTATTTTGACACAAAATTGGACTTTTTCTGAAATAACATAACCATTTTTTCCATATTTCAATTCTACTACTCAAATCATATCTAGATATTAAATTTTATAATTTCTGGTGAGAAATTTATGGAGCAATTAAAAAATTTATCTTGATGCATTTTTTTTCAGTTTGTGCCAAGAATAAATATTTTGGCAAAATTCTTAATTTATAGCAACCTATTTTCCTTTCATTTGTTTCATTGTACACAAGCAGAAAGGAAGTCATATTTCATACTTTCAAATAATTTTAACAAAGTGCGTAAACCAAATTTGTTGTTATTATTGCTTGCAACAAATATGCCAAATTTCAATGTAAATTTCTCTTATATCTTAGGGAAATTTGAATAAAAAAATCTCTCATTTTTTGCAGGTAGGCTTAGAAATACGTCTACTTTAAGATGATGGTAAAAATTTTATATGTTATAATTCAAATTTTTCTTTCAAAAAATTTATCAATTTTATTTAAAATACAAATTTAAAAAATAAATCATAAAAAATGGGTGAATTTTATTTGGAATGAACCTAAATTTCGAAATATGAAAGGAAGAATCAAATAAGTTTAATAAAAAAAGAAATATTAATAAATCTATACCAAATTCAGTTAACATGGAGGAGCCAAAATTTTTAGAGCTAATTTTTGAAATACTTCTCGTTCTTTCGAACCTTGGAAAATGCAAGTTAAATTTTGAAAATCGGTCCAGTAGAACGGGAGATATAGAACTGTCCCATTATTTTTTGTACAAGGTGTACCTGTAATAAAAAAAATGAGTAAATACAAAAATTTAAAAATAAACTTTTATTTTTATTGCAGTTGTTAATTTAACGTTAAGCAAACATCCCACAGACAAATTTGAAAATCTGCATCAGAAAAAAGTTAACAGTAACTGCATTTTGATTGTTTGAGTATTTCTAAAATAAATAAAATAAAAATAAAAGTTGCGTGTGAAATTAAAATCATGTTCTGTAAAGTACCATTGAGTTTTAGAAATTGTATTCTGGATTACTTGTCAGTGTCTATCTGCAAACTTTCTCACAGAATAAATTTCTTCACAACCAGGGCTGGGAGAATAAGGTTTTTCTGTTCACCTGTAACTTTAAAGTACTGTACATAACTGTGCGTCTGAGCATGTTTTGAAATTAAGCTTAATATGCGGAAATAATTCCTATAAAATATACTTTATGTTGAAAAATTTGGATTTGTGCACGTATAATTTATTTATTTATTTATTTTTGTAGTATAAACAGAAAATACTAATATTTACAATTAAAGTGAAAATGAAAAATAAGGTAAAGATGTGAATTATATAATTATTATAGTCATAATAATTATTGTATTTACATATTTCAATTATTCCCATGCAGTAATGAAGGAGAATGCTTAAGATTTTAAATAGTAATGCCTATTATAGTATTCAATTGTCATTCTTACATATAAAAATTTGAGCCACTTGGCCTTGCGTGAAACATTTCTAAACTCTTGAGTGTTTGTTCTAAGCATCATATGTTTTACATTCATAGATAAAATAGTAAGTAAACTCATAAAAAACAAGGTAAATATTTAAGACATTCCATTTAATTGAATTTCATGGCTTTCTGACATGTGCATTTAAAATTATAAATAAAATATTCTGTTTCAGCATATCAAATATTATTGATCCTCTTCTCACATTTGTCACATTTACATTTGTATCTCCATCACATTTGATACAGTGTGCATACAAGGAAACTAGCATATCACATATGATAGATATGCTAGGAGTGAAGAGGTTAAAGGATGCATAATGCAAAATTGTTTCATAATTTTTTGAAATTGTTCAATCTGTTTTTGCTAGTTGGTGAAATTATTTTAGAACAAAGAAATTTTATTTGATATTATCCATCAATGAACATTTGATAATCATTATTCAGGTATTTCACTATCTGCTACTTTTGCATATAATGTATTTACTCAAAAACTTTAAATAGTAATGAAAAAAGTTGAATTTTTGGTTTCAGGTTTATTTATTCAGTGCTGTTTTTCTTTATTGTTTAGGTTAAGCAGTGTTTCAATCCATTGTCAGATTAACCACCTTATAAATAAAACAAATATCTAGGATCCAGTTTCAGTACAGAAAAAATATATAAATAATTAATATTAAATTTTAAAAAATAGGGTTTTTCCTTATTAATTTGGTATTAAATCTCATATATATGTTTTTAATAGTACAGATACATGTTGTTACAATAATTGATAAAGTAATAAAACTGAATTTGGTGCCACATAATTTATCAGTCTGTGAGTAGTGTTGTACATGTGGTTCACTTTCACTTTCATTCATCATCCTTTACAACTGTAGTTACTGTTGTAACAAATAATGTAAACAATTTCTTCATTTGTTAGGAGAATTAGAACTTAACTAGTATAAAAGCAAATAACTGCCAGAATAGGCATGGTTTATCAGAATTCCAACATATGAAATATTATGTTAGTATTTTAGAAATAAAAGAAAAAGAAAAGCAGAAAAATTTCACTGCTGTCGAGATGAATCCCAGAATTCTTTCTTCTATTTAAACATAAAACAGCTGCATTGGTAAAATACTGGAGTTTGTTTTTAATGTCTTTTATATGGAAAAAACAACATTTTGGTCTTAAACTCCAACTATGTGCAGACCGAATGCGCAGTTTGAAAAACAGCTGATTTGCAGGATTTTTTTTAACAAAATAAAATTTTTAGTTAAATTTTTAACTCTATGTGCAAAATATTTATCAAAACGTATGTATTAAAATTGTATATAAATTTTATGTACTAAATGTTTATCAAACATACATGAAACAACAATAATAACACAGAGGAAAAATTTAAATAGGTATTTCATTTCTATAGGAAATCTGAAGGTTTGTACTTGCAGGAATTGTCTATTCGTTACACTTTGGAATTGAAATGTATTAGCAACCCAATATTAAATTTTCACTCTTTTTATCTCACATAATTAGAATATTTTTAATTAGCCATTAATGGCTTACTTATTAAGTAACAACTTATGAAAGCTTTCCAATATTCCCTCTCAAAAAAAACTTTGCATGTGGAACAAAACTTGACATTAAATATTGAGAACCTGTTTTCTTTCTCTTGTTTATTAAATTTTCTTTGATATATACAGAAAAAAATACATATGTTTGTAAATAAATAACTATAAATATCTTTAATTCTTATTACAACTTAGTGGCATTCCGGTTCTAATAAAGTTTGTAGTTTTAGAGAAAAATTACTGGAAACTGTCTTCATCACAGATTGTAACTATTCATCTAATATTTGGGTTTACATAATCAGGGTGCAATAAATTGTATTATTTTGGAACTAATATTCCCTTATTACAAATAAAAATGCCATTTTATTGTGCATAGCACCACAAAATTACATGATTTTCAATTTATTTTGAAAATTATGTTCTTTTTGTCTATTCTGCTTTTATCTTTATTTAAAGGCTTGGCATTTAATCAGAAAAGTTATGCGTGATTTTAAACAGTAATATCTAAAAAGCACAAATAAACTGATTTCATAAGATGTGTGTTAGTTTGTCTCCATCTGTATAGCAAGATAAACATCACAGTTGTGTGCCTAATTAGTCAACTAGTGACTAACTCAAGGAAAGTATATGTAAGAAGTACTAGTTCAATAGAAAAAATGGAAACACAGAATACTAATGTACCATCAACTATCGGTTGGCAAACTAAATTTATTGATTGTACTGACATAGGAAGTTCTCTCTCTTTTACTTCAGTAGCAGTCGCAAATGTAAGCTCAGTTCACATACCTATGCTTCTAAAACTATAAATGCCATAGTTACAAAAAATACATAATTGAAATGTATTTATGGGTTTTATGAAATTGTTATAAAGGCCTGGCTATGGCCCAGAAAATTTGAGACCATTTACGTAAAAACTAATGAAATTTTATAAACTGAAAATTTTGAAGTTGATTCTGTTATATCATTTTATTCCTCCCTTCCTGTTTGTTGGGTCATATCTTGAAATTAATTGTTGAATTTCCTTATACAGATTTTCACAGAAGTTAGCTTGCCATATTTGCAATGACAATACAATACTCTATGAAGTTTTGTTCCCCCTCCAGTGTATGCTAGACCTAAAAGTAAATCATCTTTGAAAATGTAGCTGAAACTGCTAGATAATTTGTAATGAATGGAAGTGAATAAAAGTACTTGAGGCTAATTTGTGTTAATTTTTCATACTAACGTGACACATTAAACATCTTCTAAACCTTTTTGAAGAGGAGGGGAGAATCATACAACAACTGTTCTATTATTATAGTATACTATTATTCTATTAATTATACAACAACTATTCCATTAGAGGAAAGATAAGGATCAGCGACAGACCATATTTTGTATTTCAGTTGTCTCACCTGGTATACAATGGACTCGTGGACTGTAATTAAACTTTAAAATTTTTAATTTCATTAGCTTTACACAGTTCATGACCACTGGCAGCCATGAATTCTCTAAAACTCCTAGCATATACATTTATGCATGACAAAAAAATCCGAAAGCTCCTGACTTTTTTTT